GGGGGGGAAAAAGGGTTCATTCTCTCTCCAGACTAGACTGACTGGGGTAATTGGCCATTTTTCTGAACTGGCATCCTGGACAAAACAGGGAACAAGGACACCCCTCAGAACACCTTGAAAATCATTTCTGATTTACTTCTGGGAAACTGCCAGATCGCTACTGGAGCACTAGAGGCCAGGGAAGGCGCATGGGGAAAATGGAGCATTCCATTAATTTTCCAAAAAGTTCATTCCCAACCTTCTTAATTTTGCCTACCTTGTAGTATATCGGGTCGTTTCCCCCCCCCCCCCCCCATTTAAGTTGCACGTATCTATATGACTAAAAATGCTGATCCATTCTTGGAGCAAAAGTGAGTTGTGAGAAATCTCAATCCCAGCAAAAAGGAAGAAGCTTGGTGCAACCTGACATGTAATCGTTTTCCTCCCCCTGAGGGAAGCGATGCAGCCTTGGCGAAATAAAATCATAAAGTCCCACTGAACTCCAGTCTGACTTAAGGAAGCCAATTGGGAGTTGAAGATCAAGCTAGTAGTGAGGGTCGCAATCCTCTAGTAAGCTGTCGGTCATGTAGGTGATCTGGAGAACATTTTCGTAATACATTTTTTCGGCAAGTGTGTTGACGGTCCAAGCGACAACATGAACCCCTTTAGAGGACCAACGATTGACGTAGTCCCTAAAAGGAAGTAGGCAAAAAGGATGAGGGGACAAGTAGTTCCATTCTGGCTTATTTTTAAAAATTTTCTATAGCCTCTTTGCTGTTCTGATACAGTTCTTTCCTCCTTTAAAAACCCACAAAGGCAATGAGAGCCATTTAAATTTGGGATTCATCCAGAAAAAGCTCAGTGTAGATCCAATGTTCCTCAGGATTAAAAACCATTTAAATTTGGAGGATTTGTCCCCAGAAAGCTCTCTACGGATCCCATTGTTCCCCAGGTCTCCGTGTCATAAATGTGAGACCAGCTTTTCTCCAGGCAATCCCCATCAAGAAATCTAGCAGCCACAGACTGGTGAAAATCAAGTATGCTGTTCAACTTACTGTGAAACGTAATTTTTCTGCATCAGGAAAACAGAAACGCCACATAAATGCCATAGGAAGTTGTGCATGCTCCAGTCCATGATAACATCGAAGGCCATAGACAAATAGTGTTTCCAAAAAGCCGTATAGCGAGGCTTCCCGTCCCCGTAATGACTGAAGCTCCAAGGTCGGTGGGTCAGAGCTGTTATGATATTTCTGTCAGCTTGTTTCATCTAAAAGACCAAATCACACGAAGCTAAACGCCTGCATCCCGGTAGCTTAATGAGGTTATAATACAAGAGGTTTAACAATGCCTCCATTCTGGAGGTCATGGGAATCAAACTGCAAATCATGGGTTGTGGGAAGATCCACCTTGCTTTGCATTAAAATCCAAAACTCAGAAGAAAATATCCCGTTGATTTTCTCCATGAGCATTTACTTCCAAGTTGAACAGATCTTGTTCGGAAATGCTTCAGCCTTTGATAGGACTGAAGTCGAGCAGTTCAGTCAATGCGTACATCCTTTAAAACACAAATATCCTACCTATTGCATACAGAAAGGTACCTATTACTCACTTTTTCCTCAGGGAGATGAAGTAGGGCATTGGTGTTATAAACCGAACACACAAGCATTAAAAAGCACCAAGACAAACACGTTTCTCCATCCCACAGCCAATGTAAAACACTAACATGACCAACCCTTAGGCTTAATCCAATGAACTCTTTTTATACTGACTTTCCAACATAGGGAAGGCCCAGAGTTTATTGAGCATATTAAAATAAGCTAGATGGCAATTAAGGTTCTAAAAAATAGGTAGCATGTGCTTCCCCCGTTTATAACATTTTGTGCATCTTGTATAACACCAAGCCTACTCAAAAACTTCCTATCGTCATGTCATGAAATTATGAGACGACGTTTTGAAATCTTCACCTTATAGACAACATCTGGCATAAACGAGCAAACCACACTGGTGTTGTACAGCCGTGGATATTCTAGGTAGAGCTGTGTCAGGACTGCAACCGCCTGCCAGTAAAAAGAAAATGGCATTAAAAAAAAAAGCACTGGACAAAGACAAGGGTTTTTTTCTTGTACATTTCAGCTACCAGGGGGAATTCTTGCATAGCAGATGCTACTGCTTAAAGTGGCATGTGCAGAGCACAAAATAACTTGTGTTTTGGGGAAAAAATACACACCAAGGCAGGTGAATGGAGCAGAATGTACTACCAGTAATGTACGTGGGAAAGTTGCTTTCAAAAACAGCAACTTGGTTTAATTGAAACGATACAGATTCAAGGAAAGATTCAGAATTCAGCCCTAGAGTCAATGAAGAAGCTTCCAACCTCACTCTTGTTTGTTTGTTTCAAATAACAGGACTGAGAAAGAGCAAGACTCTACTTGCTGGTGCTAGGGGAGAGTAAGATCAGTATCAGTATCTTCATGCAATTTATAATCAGAAAAAAACATGCTGATAATAAGTGCCTTTAAAAAAATAGTTCTCTGCCCCTTCCTTAACACAGCTCTATGAATGGGAGAAAAAGCATTTATGAGGAAACCTTTACCCAGTCATTGCTTTAGTGCCATGAATAAAACTAGTATTTAAAAAATCACCTTGTTTGTTTCAGCATGTTATGGTCAGAACATTTTGTCAAATGGAAGAACTCTACAGGAAAGGAAAAACTGTTGGAAGGGTACCTTATCTGCATGTCCCTTGACATCAAAGTAGATGATGAGATCATGATGCAAACTTTCCAAAACAGCTTCTTTTAGGGTTGGTATTTTTTCCCCATGATAATCCCTCCTGGAGGAAAAAAAAATCACCAGACCTACTTGAAAGGTGTGCATTTAAACAGAAAAGTATCCAATTTAAAAAAAGGAAATATTTCCCCATTCGTACTGTACCACCACTAAAGATCCCAACATATATTCCAGTAGAAAAGGAACACCAACTCTTATAAAGATTTAGTCATTTAAGCACCAGAAGACATGACTATCTATTGGGAAGTTGCAATCCACAAAAAAGTACATGTTCAGGTAGTTCTTAGCTTATAACCACTTGTTTAGTGACTTTGAAATTATAATGGCACTGACTTACAACCAATCCACAGATTTTCAATTGTTCCAGCATCCCCATGGTCACTTGATCAGGTATTTGCCAACCAGCATGTATTTATGATGGTTGCAGCATTCTGGGATCATGTGGTTACAATTTGTTGACCTCCCCAACTGGCAAATTCAACAGGGGAAGCTGGGTCTGCTTAAGGGCTATGTGTGACTCGCTTAAGAATTGTGGCAAACAAGGTCGTAAAATTGGGCACGACTCAGTGAGTAAACGACAGGGTTGTTCCCTTACCATAACCTATGTTTAGCAGCTGGATTAAACTGTCGAATATCAGCAAACGTCAATTCACGCAAACTTCCAGAGCCATCAGTGGTCCTGTCCACCGTTTCGTCATGCATAAGGATAGGAACCCCATCTGCAGTAAATTCAAGGTCCAGTTCCACTCCTGTGGCTCCATTCTCAGCTGCCTTAAGAAACAAAGTCCACACTTTCAGAGCATAATACAGTAAGCTTTTAATTCAATGTATTGGTATAACTTTGCCTTGGGAATTATCCAACCAGCTATAGCTTGCTGGCTTAGCAGTAGTGACAACTGAAGCCCACGGATCTTAAAAGTTGCTGAAGTGGAGAAACAAAGAACCGAACAATGAAGCCTAAGCAAAATTGCTACTGACAAATCCATGTTATTTCAACAGGGACAACTAAAAACAAATGTTCAAGCTAGAGTATTTCATCTTTTGGATATCAAAGTTGCAAGCCCAAGCTTCAAAGGGACAGCTCAGTGATGGAAGATAGGCAAATTTTCCCGGGCTTTATCCTTGACATCACTCAGAGGTGTTGGAGGTCTCCTTTGTAGCCACTTTGTAAAGGTTCTCCTCGCACCTACGTGCTAGTCATTTCCGGCTCTAGGGGGCGGTGCTCATCTCCGTGGCAAAGCTGAAGAGCCACCACTGTCCGAAGATGTCTCCGTGGTCATGGGGCTGGTATGACTAAGCGCCGAAGGCGCACGAAACACTGTTACCTTCCCACCAAGGGCGTCCCTATTTTTCTACTTGCATTTTTTTTTACATGCTTTCGAATTGCTAGGTTGGCAGAAGCTGGGACAAGTAATGGGAGCTCACTCCATTACGTGTAGCTAGGGATTCGAACCGCCAAACAGCCAATCTTTCTGATCAACCAGCCAAGCGTCTTAGCTATTGAGCCAGGGCGTCCCTTAGAGCCCGCTTAGAGGCAGGGGTGGGATCCGACAGCGTTAACTACCGGTTCGGTGATTTATGAGGCTCGGTGATTTACGATGTGCTTCCTTGCACGCTGCGCGCGCACCTGTAAATCCTCATCAGCTTGCTGCCCAGACAGCTGAGTGCAGACAAGCAGCGTTTGAAAAAGCACCTTTTTCCTGCTTTTTCAACCACAGCTGTGCCTCGCACGGCAACTGAGGTTGAAAAAGCAGGAAATAAAGGTCAGGTAAGAGCCCAGGCGGGCGGGTAAGCCAAAACATCAGCAGACATAGAACAGGTTCTCTGTTTGCTGTTCTTCAGAGCTACTGGTTCTACAGAGCCGGACAGAACCGGTAGAATCCCACCCCTGCTTAGAGGTTGTCAATGACAGAACATTTGTGACCAGGTGCTGCCACCGGACAGGTTAAGGAACTTCTCTAAAGTAGCACTGACCGGAACAGCCATGCTGTGCAAACACAACAAAAGAATGGGACACCTTATGATTGCCTATTAGGCAATTAAGTCATACAATAAACAATGCAAAAGAAGGTTTGCATTCAGAAATCAGCAAAGGCTACTCAAAAAGTATTAGAATCTGGTTTCTACCAGCCATTAGGAAAAGAAACAGTGTAAACAACTTCTGTCATAAATTCCCTTCTGATCCAAGTGTACTGTACATTATCTGGGGAAACAGACAGTTACTATAATTATCTTTAATGATTCACCAATATTTGCTGGTGATCTCCCATGCTAATTTTCTGCCTCTGTTTAGGAGGTTCAAAGATGTTTTAATCCGTCCTGTTTGCAAGCCAAACAAACCTAGCCTTTTCTTTGTTTAATCACACAATTAATTGCAATCACTTCTTTCTAATGGCTTTCAATTCATCAAGGCCTCTTCATTTGTAAGATTCATCTTATTCAATAAATGTAGCAGTGGGAGGCCCATCTCATCTTTCTGACTGCTAGCTCCTCAATTCCTTCAGGAATGAGAAGCAAATATTGTAAATTAAATAACTTTATAAAATCCATGCTGTTGCACTACTTAAATCCTGCTGGAGTTAAATAAGAAGTGT